GCATTGCCCTGGCTTCCACCAGACAGGCATTATAGACCCAGGCGTTGACCCGTCCATGAAGAAAGCACGAGGGTTTTCAGCAGTTCACCAGCCTGACAGCCAAGGTCGCAGGGAGGGAAGGCCCCTGGACTGGTTTTCTGAGTTGGCCCTTCCTTTACTTTCTCAACCTTCTCACTGACTTGCAGCCAAAGGAAAAAAAAAAAACAAACTTTAAAATCTAATCCTAACTGTTCCCAATTTTTCGTCAGCTACATCCACTTAAACTGGAAGCGCCAGTTTTGAGGCGAGTCTATTTCTCTTTTTGTATGAAGTCATTCCTTGAACAACTTATTCATAAAAGAACTGATTTAAAAAGCTGTATTTCTTCAGGGCCGGCCTGTGGTCTGGTGATGAAGGGAGCTGGATCCTACAGGGCCAACTCTACAGTTCAAATCCCAGCCCCAGCAGCATGAGAAACAGACCAGGTACATGTACACTGTGCCAAAAATTCCAGAAAAAGAAAAAAAGAGAAATAGAGGAGAAAGGATAATGGTTTGTCCATTCCTATGAAAGGAGTGCTTTCTCCCCTCGTTCTGTCTTTCTGGCAAGTACATGTGACCTCGTACAAATTTGGGGGAAAAAATGGGGGGAGGGCATGTTGTCTATTGTGTAGAACAGGAGCTAACCAACTTTTTCTATAAAGGCCAAGAGTAAAGACTCCAGGTTTTGCAGGCCAGATGATCGCTGTCACAGCTAATCCACTACCGAGCCTGCTGCTATAGTCTAGGAGCACTCAGAGACAGAACAGAAAGAGAAGCCGAGGCTGTATTCCAATAAATCTTACACAAACACCGGCAGGCCGGTTTGTACCTCTGGGCCTCAGTTTACCAACGGCTCGACCAGAAGAACCCACATCCTTTATTTGCCTGTGTCAGAGACGCCTTAAATAGCGAAGTCAGTCATCAGACGCCTGTTGGAGGCGTGTCCTTCGTGAGTCCCTAAGAGTTCACAAAGAATTCTGTGCAGAAGCATCTCATAGTCCTGGAGATGGATGCATGAAGGAAGCAAGTAGGAGGGAGGTTCTTTCCATTGCTGCTTTTAGGAGGCAATTCCCAGCCTTGCAGACAAACACCTTCTTTAAAAATAAACTCCACAGGGGCGGGAGGCGGCCCCGCATGGCTGTGACCGGCGGCGGGACTTGCGCGGGCCCTCCCGGGCTCAGCGCGTCCCCCCCCCACCACCACCACCCGCGGCGGCAGGTGCCCCTTTCCCCCCCCTCTCCCGGGGGGGCGCGTGGCCTCGGGG